CTGTGACTTCATTGATGCACGATCTGTCTATCATATCAAGTAATTTTAAAGACCAATATTCAAAGACATCCATTAAAGCTGTTTGCTCCGTTCTTTTCTTTGTTAACAAAACAAATTTATTATCCTCTAACTCCCTCTAGTGTCAATCCTTCAAGGTCTCATTATCGTATTTCCTCTTGAAAGAACCCAAACAATCACCATTTCCCACGGGAAGGATTCTTCTAATTAATTCAAAACTGTAATTCCAAGTCTATCTGGACCCTTAATCCATTGTTAATTTTCCAGAATCCATATTCTAAACACCCTTTTGCTGTTTAAACCCCAAAATAGTATTTTTCTAGAGCTTCTAAAATCACATTTAAAACATCTGTCTCCAAGGAATAGGCACTCACCTGATGAATACGGTAAAACCTTGCCGATCCAAAGGGGCTTAATATTTCCAGTACAATAATAAAAAAAAAATCCAAAAAGTGATTAAGAAATGAGGTTCAGTTGAGCTTTATGTCCTAAAAAGGCTGCATTACGAGTATAAGCTCGATGGTGTCCCGACTCCCAGCCACTCAACCCATAAGCCGACTGCAAAGCAACAGTTTCTGCAGTCTACTTGTGAGGAGCGGCTGTCTGGAGTCATGTGGTTATCTCAACAATCTCTCCTTCCAGAGAGATTTTGCTGGTCCAGATCCAGCGTCCAGCCGTGATTTTCCTTGTAAATGCGGTCGTGCTGCTGGCAGGATATCAGCTTGCCAGAGCACTCACCAGAAGTGTCCAATGGCAGTTCTCCTAAAGCAGCTTCCCCGCAGTATAAAATATTGAAATAAAGAAATACAATAAATATTATGTAAAAACAAACAACAAACTTTCCACGGTCAGATGGATGGAAATGGCCCTACAGGTAGGGAAGAAGGAACCCAACTGTATAGGTTCTTGGATGTTTTTCTCCTTTCCTGTTTCCTCAGGCATCTCTCCCCCAGACATTTTGGGGAGGCATGAGTAGAAAGCCAGAGAAACAAAACATTTTATTATTTTATCACATCTATACCTTCAAGTACACAACAGTGCATTTGATCGTACCTTATTTTGTGAGGTAAGTTAGGCTGAGAGCACTTGATCCAAAACCAGTGTTAGTCCTTGTCTCCTGCACTTACTGTTCTGAAATGGTATGCGGTATTTCCTGCAGGACACTTCTATGATATAGAAATATCCACAAAACCACCATAATGGAAGGAAGCAAATCCTTTTTAATCACTCCCTATAAATAAAATCCTAACATTTCCTTTTAAGGAGTTTCCCCCCCCATAAGCGGATTTATGGAGAGCAACAGATATGTCTGCTAACATCCACTTCTGCTGAAAAGTTGAAAGAAACATCATTCCATTTACAGCAAAATCTGATAATAAAAGTCACTTGCATAGAAGTCCTGTGCACTTCCTGGTCTGAAGTGTGTCATACTCCATCCTCTCAGAAGGAGCTACTGTGCCTAAAACTTTCATCCAGTTCTGTTAAAAAGCAAAAGAAGTTGTAAGTGCTAATTGATGTCCCAATAGCAGTTAAAGAGAAGTTAATTAAAATTGGAGAGGTGGAAATGGAAGGGAACATTGAGTCTACCCCCTTGCTCTGTGCAAGATGACTTTCTGATCTCTGCTTGAATATGAAGAATAGCTCACCACTTCCCCAGATAATTGGTTCCACTGCCAAACTGCGCTTCCAGTCAAAAAGGCTTTTCTTCCCTGTAACAATCAATTAAAAACTTTCTTCCTGTGACTTAAATCCATTATTTTTTATCCAGCATGCTGGAGTAGCAGACAGTAGGACTTGATCCTCTGTGTGGCATTCTTTCAGCTATTTGAAGAATAAAATTATATCCCTGCTAAGTGTTCTCATCTCAAGCCTAAACATTCCCAGTTCCTTCAAACTCTTTTCTTAAGATTTACTGTAGCTTCTAGCCCCTTGACCATTCATTTGGACCTGGAATTTAAACTCATTCCAAGTAAGAAGATACTTCCTGATCATATTCATATCAATGTTCTGCTTCATTCCTGCCCCTTCAGTCTTCTCTTCCCAATTTCCTGGAGAAACATATACTTTCTTGTTGGAGAAGACTGAGAGAAAATATAAGATAAGTGGTTCTGCTTTTCCTCTGTCACTTGTTAGCATTTTGTCTTGTCCCCCAAACAGCTTTTATACTGATCCTCTTCCTATCTATCTAAAGAAGACCTCTTTGTTACTCTTAATATCCTTGCCAATCTCAGCTCATTCTGAGGTTTCCTGACATTCTTTCTACAGTTCTGGGTTACTTCCTTATGCTTTTCCTTGATGATCTAGTCTCTCTCCACTTGCTGTCTGTGTCCTTTTTTTGTTTGTTGGTTTGGGCTTTTGGATAGTCATGAAGATCTTGGCAACCACACATGAACCATCTTCTGTTTCTTCCTCTCATTGGAACTGTTTACAATTATGCTTTCAGAATCTTCTTTCTAGGAACTCCCAGTCATCTTATGCTCATTTTCCTCTTGGTTAATGTTCAAACAAGGATAGCAGATCCTCTTGTGCCTTTTGAAATAAAATCAAAAACATTATTATGGCCAAACGCCCCCCCCCCCGCAAAAACCCAAACCCAAAACAAAAGACAAATGAAAATTGTTAACAAGACGAATCAGAATTTTCCCCTAAAGGATGATGCTTGGCAGAATTTGTCTATCAACAGTTATTGGCGCAATTAAATTCTTCCATGTTAAGTTCCCCAAATTAAACAATGGAATTTCCAGACAATTTAAATTTGAGTTAAATGTTGTGGTTAGAACATACACACACACAGCTGAACTTATTTATTAAGGACTTCATTGACCACCTTTCCACTAAAAAGCATACTTCCCAATCATAAACAATTTTAAAGTGGACTAATAAAATCAGAGCAAATTAAAAAGAAAAGCATCTTTTAAACAAATTAAAAAGCAAATTAATCAAATTAATCAAATGACCCTAACCCAGTCAAAACCTGAATGAAACAAAATAATTCTGTCTGCTACATTTTTGTGAAGAGGTACCAGAGATGAATAAGTAATGTTGGGTAATCTTTGATTTTCTCTCTGCAGCATTCTGCATCAAGACACTTTTCATTTCCCACAGAACTTTGCTTCTTCATAATTTCATATTATAAATCAAGAACACTCAGAGTTAGGATTTTAGTTTATAAGATGGTCATAATTGCTTCCCACATATTTAAGTGTGTGGAATTATTTTTGGTCAGTGCTGTGGAAACGTGTTGGTGTTCAGTTATGTTAATTAACCACAGAAGCAAACAGGAGAGATGAATTCTCATAAAATAGCATGCTTTTTTAAAAAATGAAATCATGATTTTTCTTGCCACTTTATGGAAACTGGTTTGCTTCTTCACCTAATAACCTTCCTTTATCAGTATTTAACTTAGAGCTCAAGGAGACCAAAGGAAGATGTTGTTTTTTGTGTGTGGTACAATTCTGTAGAAAAAAGGCTTCTGCTTATAATCAACCTGATTACTGAAACTGCATTAAATGGAACTATCTGGGAAACTGTAAATCTTAGACCGGAGCCACAACTCCACCTATGTTAGGTATTTATTCTGTATCATCCAGCTATGAGTGTAGGTCACTTGACTCATCAGAACTATTGCAGCTACTTTTGATTTAGTACTAATAGCTTATCCTAATTTTTCTTAAAGCAAACAGTGCCTAGCACTTTCTTATTTACTTATGCATTCAGTATTCATCACTGGCTATGTAGTATTATTCAGACCTTTTTGTGGCAGGAGTGGGGAGTCTGTGTCTGTTCCCACAGACATTGCTTAACTACATTCTCTCTCACCATTGGCCCTAGCTCTTAGCATCGGAAGTAAGGTCTTTGAGTTAAACCCAGTTCCCGATGACTGTGTTCCTTTTTAAAAAAGCAACTCTGTAGACATTGTTTGCCGTTGCCTTTCCCCAGTATGTTTCTTCAACTTCTCAGCTAGGCTTTTTGAGATCAGCCAAAGTTGATTAGATGCACTAAGAAAGTAAAAAATGTTTGCAAGCTTTTCCCAACTGGAATACAGCTTAATACAGTGGGGGTGGGTGGGGGGCTGTAATTCCAAGCATTTTGAAAAAAACATAGTCTTGGAAAATAAAATAATGCTTTAGAAGGACCTACATTTAGGATCTGTCATTGGGATATCTTAAAGTTGGAATGAATATTTAAATAATGTGTTGGCTTTAATGACTTGATTTTTTGGTACTGTTAATCTCTCTCTCTCTCTCTCTCTCTCTCTCTCTCTCTCTGTTCTTACGGTTCCTGTTTTATTGTATACCACCATGAATCCTTGTGGAGTGAGGTGATATAAACATATTGAAATAAATAAATCCATAAATCCATAAATAAGAGCTCAGGTTCAAGAGAGAACAATGCTACTACTCTTCTTTACAAAGAGATTTACTAAAGGCCCATGAGTTAGCACATGGATTAAGCTTGGGGCCAGAGTATTGAACTAGTGCTGCAAATTCTATCAGCCCCTTTGACCTGTTGCTAATATGTTATCACTTCATTTTCATCCCTCCATAAAACCAAGCAGATTTACCATGGGACTCACACAGAGAAGGGTTAGGTTGAGATTATTTACAATGTTTACTGAATATAAGCGGGCTAAGAACAAATCACTTCTGGTTAACAGAGGCACTGGCCCCTAGACACACTTCTGAGCAAGTCACAATCAAGTAGGAAGTGAGAGATTTTTAAAGTTCCCAACCCCCATATTCTTGTATACTGTTTCAGCATTTCTGAAGTTTAATTCCAAAAGCTTCTCCTTAAAGATAGATTTAAACAAACTGTATGGATATTAGTTTATCTTTGCTGTTGTTTCCAAACCTTCTTAACGTAACCACTCATTTATGTTGCTTCACGGACAAAGTGTGCCAATGCCTTCTCTGTTGTAACTTGTACAAAGTTGTGGGAGCTTGCAGGAAGTGGGCACACACCTCTGCTTCACTGGGTGGGGCCTCTTGTTCTCACTGTGCCTGATTAAGAAAGTACTTACAGCGAGCATAGGAAGAATGTAGGGAAAATGCAGTCTTTGGGCTAGCTTGCTTTTCGCTATGCTCAGCTAAAAGGCTTTGCAGATCACATTTTAAAGAAATTTAACAAAAGGATTCCAAGTGGAATAAAAAGGAAAAACATGGGGATACTATATTCACAGGTAAGTACTGTGTAGCTATTTACTACTATTTAAATGTCTTACAAGAGCAGCTGTAGCCAGTTTGATATGTTTCAAAGGGGTTGGTTTTGCTTTTACAAAATCCACGCAACTCTAACAAGTCTGAGAAATTGCATCTTTATGTGAAACCAGATGCTAGTGGAATAAGCAACAGTTTTCCACTAAGAGATGAATCGTACTGAAATTGTAAGAGAGAAATGTTTGAAACAGGGTCGTGTGGCGTATGGAAGTTGGAAAATGTGTCCTGTGCGACCTCTTGATCATAAAGTCTGCAGCTGGTGGTTAATGTACATTCTATCAAGTGTTTGCTACTATTGAACTATTGAAAGGAAAGGCAGCTTAATCTCTTCTGTATCTGCATAAATTAGTAAATGTTCTAACAACAAATCCAGCCCTTTTGAGTACAAGAACTGGAATTAAAATAGAGCTAGATATTTAAAGCATATGCTAGTCCCTAAAACAGTCCAGTAAGAGCAGAATGTGCTCAAAGCCCTCTACCAGGAACAGCAAGTTGAATATCAGTTGGCACAGAAAAATGTATGTGCATATACAGTACATAACTGTGTGTTAACATAATAATGAATTGCCCTGCTTCAGTCCACTCATTAAAACTTCCAGTTTTCATAAGGAAGTATGACTGGTATCTGGAACAGGAACTTTCAGTAGGGGTTGTGGATATACTGCAAAACCTCTAGGTTCCTATGTCTACATTTAATTCCAAACTTGATTATGTGCCATCAAGTAGATGTTCACTCTTATCAACCACAATGATTTATTCTCATCCTGGTCCTTCAAGTCTTCCAATGGTGCACCCATGATTGCTGTAGCTGAGTCTCTCCCCACCCCTTGTGGCTAGTTGTCCTCTTCTCTTTTCCCGAATTATACACTTATCCAGCTAGGTCTTTGCATAATGCATTCAAAATATGATAATTTGAACCTTGAGTCATTTATGTTTTATGTGAGACTCTGGGCAGATTTGTTTTAGGATTCAGTTTTTGTTTTCTTGGCTATCCATGGCATTCTCAGGAGTCTTCTCCAACAATAAAGTTCAAAAGCATCAATACCCTTTCTATCCTACCTCTTCAAAGTCCACTCTTCACTTCCATAGAACCTTTAATGACTACATCAAACTGGCTTACAATTCCAAGCTTAAAGAATAATTAATTGGTATTTGTATTTTGGAATTTTGCATTTGGGAATCACCTTGGGAGACAGGAAGAAGAGCCACAGCCTAGACAATAGTCTGATAAATGAAATTTGAGTTTGAAGGGGGAGGGGTGGCAAAAGCATCTCAGAAGGAACTCTCTGTCATTTTTGGGAGAATAAAAGTAAGGGACAGGGGAGGTACTTTCAGACTTGCAAGATTTTGTTAATGTAACCTTACAATAAAGATAGAGGTAGTACTCTTGGTTGTGCTTCCAGTTCTGTCTGGACTACCTCACAAGGCTAACAGGTATAATACTCTGGCATTGCTCAAGAAAAATCAACTTAACATTTAAAAGTTTCTTATCAACATTGTATAGCTAGGGGAAAAGGTCAATATTTGTTAAAAGCATATAGAGAGGAAGTGATTCAGATTCCACACCCACTTATCTATAAGCATACGGGCTTTCCAAAATATCCAGTTGGACTGCATTCCATTCAGAAATGATTTGGATTTCTGAATCCTTCACCTGGGTTACCACGGCTTTTGTTCATCCGCTGTGTTGAAGTGCAACATGGAGAAATCTGGGGTGTATACTGGAAGCATGATAAGACTCCTGTATAGAAAATATTCTTGTTCTGAAGCAAAAGAGAAAGTCAGGGTAATATACATGACCAGCCAATCAGAGGTGACCACACCTCGCCATGAAGATGCCAGAATTATGAAACATGGGTTGTGTCATCATAGTGCAAGTTCCAGCATTTCAAATTAGCTTCGTGACAAGGCACACTAGTACACAAGGAGTGAAGTTTATGTTGCAGCATCAGGCACATGCTTTGTCCCTTTGACGCTTTGCCATTCCCTCCCACTGCTCCTGATGCCCACACCGCCAAAGTATCTTCATATTATGGCATAAGGATACACGTTCCCTCTCCCTTTTTCTTTCTGCAAGAGCACGCCATTGAAAAATGTTTCCCCTAAGCAGTGTCATCTATTCATTTAAAGTATTTGCAGTTAGATTTATATTTATATTTAGATGTATAGTTCAACAGGAGATAACTCTATACCAAGAGGATGGGGAAGGAAACAGGAAAACTGGGGCACAGGTTCTTAATACTTGGTTGGGTCTTATAATGGCCTACACTATGGCTGGGCTGGAAGTTCTTAATGGTCTTACGGCAATTGGCTTGAATCGAAATAACTGATAGAGTCAAGCTCTTCTGGTCTCTGCAGCTGCCATTACGTAGCTTCCTCTTCTCTTTTTTTTACACAGATGGATAGTCCATTTTAGACTGAAATTATGTAATTTCTGAAGCCTAAGTATTATAGGGTGAGGGGGAAGGAGGCATGGGCATTTACCTATTTCTGGTTATGATAAAACAACAGCTCTAACCTAGCCTACAGCCTTTTTTTACTAGCCTTTTGTTATATGTTTTACCTTCCATAGAGGGCTGCCAATTTTTAGTCACTAACGTTAGGAGTCAGTACTCTTATGCATCACACAGCCTGCTACACTTAGGTGTCCTTAAAGCAACCAATCTTGTTAGTTTATGTGTATGAATTGGGGAGTTCGCCAGCTTATGACTTGTGGGAATGGCAGCCATCTCCTAGCACTGAGAGTTCATATGCCGAGCTTGTTACATACAGGTAGTTGTCAAGTCTACAATGTCCAAATCTCAGTCCAGAAGAATTCTCATGAAACCAGACCTGGTTCAGATAAAATCTCCTTTATTGGATGGTACATGCAGCTCTAAGCAAAGTATTGCTAAAACTAAAGCCCACGTAATTTTTCCTCTACTTTTAACCCTCTGCTCCCCCTTCTTCTTTGGCACCAGATTTCTTTCTCACCGAGTCATGGCCTTATGAATTCCTCACCCTGATAACACCTCTTCTTCCTGGCCTTCGAGATGGCACCAGCTCTGTCTTCTTTCATCCCCCCCCACCCTTATTACAAATGGCAGAATCAAAGCAAGCAGACCCAGCATTTACTATCCCTAATAAATCAGTCCTCCTTTGGCTATTCATTCGATTCCTGCAGGTTCTGACAGTAGTCCTCAACTTCTGATCATTCGTTTAGCGACCAAAGTTACAATGGTGCTGAAAAAAGTGGCTTATGACCAGTTCTCACACTTATGACTGTCACAGCGTCCCTGCGGTCACATGATCAAAATTCGGGTGCTTGGCAACCAGCATATATTTATGATGATTATAGCATCCCGGGGTCATGTGATCACCATTTGCAACCTTTCTAGCCGGCTTCTGACAAGCAAAATCAATGGGAAACTGCATGATACACTTAACAGCTGCCGCAAAAAATGTAAAATTGGGTGTGGTCACGTGATGCCTCACGTAATGACTATACCGCTAATTGATGAATTTTCCGGTCCCTATTGTGGTCATAAGTCAAGGACTGCCTGTACTTTAAAAGAATAGTTATTCTTAAGTTAAGCTTGATTCCTGATGACTATGTGCCTGTGTTACAGAAATAGTTTGCCGTTGTCTTATTCCAGGGTATATCTTTGGCCTCCCAGTCCAGCCTATAGCCTGGGTGATTTCTTGATGGACTCCTGTCCAATTACTAACCAGGTCCAACCTTGCTTAGTTTTTTCTTCAAGGGCATCTAAGTGTTGCCATTTGCTGTGGCATTAGTTAACGATGAGGGACCTCATATCAGGATTTGCGGTACGGTTTGCAATAGCAATTGTGCACCGAATAAATCAAGAATTCTTGTTGGGACAAGGAATGCTAAAGCATGGGGATCTCACTGTATCTTGCATATTGGGCATTACAGCTGGAAAAAGAGTTCAGGGAAAAGCAAAAATGACTCATAACTCAGCAGCCATTGAATCTGTCACACCAGTGTAGTTTTGGATTAACATAATTACAGTCTACGAGCACCACTTTGTGGATTTAATCTGGAACTGCAGTCTTAAATGCAATACCTCTTGTTCTAGTTTTTCCTGAACTGCACACACTTTTTCCTGGTTTATCTCATTGTATTTAGACATGTATATGAATTGATTATTCACTGCAAATTTGTATTAATGCCTATATCTGTTAATTCTCCTGTGATGCTCCCAATAGTGCTTACCAAGCGCTGTGCTCCACCTGATTTAATTTAATTTTAGATTCTTTTAAATAAAACAAATAATGACATGGAAGATGGCACGTTGATAGCATATTATCTTTATTTCCAAGAGAGCTTTTGGATCCTGCAAAGACCCCAGAGGCATTCTTTGGAAATAAAAATGGTGGATGTTTGCAGCTTATTTAGTTTAAAAAAAGATTTGGTGCAAGGTGCAATCCTTTTCCCCCTCTCCTTAGTTTCTTTGTCTACCTCTAAAAGTTTAGGATGACCCTAGGTTCTGCTCCATGCTGTGCATAATTATGATGCCAGTAGTCTTAAAGTGAGACAGAGCATCTCGTAGGAACTTTTGGCTCAATACATCTGTTTTGCCCATCACCAGTACAAGTCACCTACTCCTCTTGAGTGCATGAACAGATGAAGCAGTCTTCCACCCATTCCCAGCTCATTGCAAATGTACCTGCCCTGCCCATATTCTAAACCTCTGCTCCAGAACTACTGTTTTCTGTCCTAAGCCATCTTTTTCTGAGCAGATATTCTGCAGTGCTTTGTTCTGATCTAGCTCCAATGGGTTACATTTCGTACTGGACTGCCAGACTCCTACAGTATGTTCTCTGCTGGACAGTAGCTGCCTTTTCTATTATCTTGTAGTTAAGCCAACAATGACCTGTTAAGTCAATAAACTTTTCTTGCCTTGTGCTTTCCCACCTCCTGTAGGAGTGCATCATTCCCTTGAACCCTTACATCTTCACTGGACACCCTGTTGGTTTCCGCCGAGGCTGGATGAAGCATGCTCCCCTTATGTTCCCACCCGCTCCCCACTGTACTGTGAAACTTCCTTTTGTTTGTGTGTTTTTTCCTAAAGTTTTTAATTTGCAACCTAGGCATGTTGGAGGGAAGCTACAAAGTTTCAGTGACTACTACTTTGTTTTTATGAAACTGAACGATCATTTTTCCAAACATCATATGGATATTCTGGATTTTAAAATGTTTTAACCCTTCCCCTTTTGGACTTTTTGTGTGAAACAGAAAAAAAATGAAACTATAATATATGGGTTTGATGATTAGAAAAAATAGTAGATGATAGAAAACATAAAAGTTATGTTGTAACCATAGAGTAAGAGTTCAATTTAATTTTGCACCTATAACTGTTGTAAAAGAAAAGCAGAAGTCGTTTCTTTATATTTCTTTTTCCTTTCTTTTTTTTTCTGTACTT